CAGATTTATTAATCAGAACAACAACAAGGAAAGCATAAAAATATTCTGGATGTTGATTATTGAACAATAGAGGTTCAATTAGGCTCAGTTTTTATTAGAGCTGTCAATGTTAACACTTTAATGCATGTGATTAACTGAAAATTTTAACACGTAAATATTACATAATGCAGATTAATCGAACTACCTAGTTGGTCCTAGTCTGGTAAAAACCATTCCCTTGTGCTACACTTTGTTTCATAAAGAGGATCTGGGTCAGGAGTCACCAACTCCAGTCCTCCAGGGCTACCATCCTGCAACTTTTAGATTCACCTCTGCTCCAAAATGTCTGAATTCCCTCACCAGCATTCATTCCTCTCTGCAATAGGCTGGAAACGAGCAGTTTATTTGATCCAGGTGTGTTTGAGCAGAGACACATCTAAAAGTTACAGGATGGTAGCCCTCGAGGACTGGAGTTGGTGACCCCTGATCTGGGTTCTCGGCTGTTGAGAAATAGTTGTTTCTCAATTGCTGGCTGAAGTCGTGGACTGTGTTTAGGTTTTAAAGTTCACCCAGTCGCTAATGTAATGCGTCAGTTCGACACTATAAAGCTTACTGGAAACTGTCCGTACTGCACACAACTATTCTCCACTGCGAAGAGAATAGCAGCTGTTAATGTTAATTAAATATTTAGAAGCACAGCCAATAACAACTGAATGCCTTCATTCACTTCCTCTGATGCCATTGCTAAAAATACAGGAAGACTGCAATTCTAATACAGGGCAGAAAATCAATATCATCTCCTTCTGTTCGCTGATTGGCCCGGTCAATAATCGACTGGAGACAATTAGAGTCAAAGAGAGAAAGCCCATACCCTGCTGGAAGAGAGAACTTTTTTCGAGAAGAATTGCACAGGAAGGCAATGGCCAGGCTAAGTTGGGCCTAAAAGCCTCTCTCATGTGGAGGGTTACCTAGTTCACAGCAGAGTGTTTTGAACTCATCACATGGGAATTTTGGAATGACAGGAAAAGGCCCGCATGTGCTCATCTACATGAACTTGCTCGAAATTTTACATGCACGAATTACACCAATTGCTTGGTTAGATGAGTGAATTCAATGGTTGCCTAAATGGAGAGGGACATATTGACATTAATTTTTAAAACAAAATGGTTTCCTTTAAACCTTCCTGAATATAAAAACTGAGAATCTTCAGAGAGTTTTAGTTTGAAACAATATAACATTTTCTTCAACTAAATTGCCTGCTCTCTGCTGGGGGGGAGGGAATCAGATTTCTTACATTTAATTAGTTGGAGTGCAGCAGATGGCGAGAGTTGCCCAGAGTACCACTCCTGCATGAACATAATCACGTGCATATTTTACAATTCAAGCTTACAAAGTTAGGCATAGTGATTAATCACAGAGCTGGAGTGTAATTAATCTAAGTGTTTTAATCATCTAACAGCACTGTAAGTTGATTTGTTGCAGAACTGATTCTGCAACAAATCAAATGACCCTAACCCTAACAAATGACCTCATTGTCAGGTGTCAAAATCCCAAAGTAAAAAGTATTTAATCAAAAAGCTAAGCAAGGCCATCTTCAAGGTAGGGGTGTAGCGATAGAATAATCTCACAATACAATATGATATATGATATTCTGGCCACGATACGATATGCATCACAATATTTGGCAAACGATACAATTTGCTCCGATTCAATGCACTTTTACGATTTTCTGAAAGATTATAGAAGGACACAGTGATTTTAGTGACATTTTGTGTTCCATAGACTTGGATTAACTGAAAACTGATTAAAAGCAGTTAAAAAGTTGGACAGAATCTAACAGTCTACAGCTGGACAAAATAAATCAAAGATGCAGTGAGAAAACTAGTTTCTATAATTTAATTCATGTGGATTTGACATGAAACTCAAAGTTTCAACAGTGATCCAAGATGCTGAGTGAGGAGATTATCAGCCTCTGCAGACTCTCAATATGCAAATGATTGCACTCATGTTTTTCTTTTGGACATACTATAGCTGCATTTTGGAGTAAAACAGTCTTTAGGACTATAGGGAAAAGGTTTTTCTAACTTGGCTCCTGGAGTTAGCCGTAGCTGCAAGCTGTTTACTAATAGCTGCTGGGGGAGTGGCTCTGCCTCACCCCGCAGCTGCGCAGCGGCGCCATTCCCCTGCTTAGATGAGTATCTGCCTCTCAGACTGCCAGGATCTCATCGTACTCTCAGTCTCTGATACTCTTTGTCAGTTGCTAGAAAGAATGATCGATCCGCCATCGTTATCATGGAAATCCTCACTGCACCGCAGATTCCGGCTGCAGGTTTCCCCTCTTCGTTTTCCAGCTCAAAACACAGTGCCGCTGCATGCTGCGCACCCACTTCGGATGTTATCAACCCATGTTCATTCTTCAGGTAATCCGTTCTGCTTCTCTTTCATGGTTACTTGCGCAACTTTACTTCATTTCTCAGCAACAAAATACAGCCCATCGTTATTTATTGAAGATTTGAGATTTCCAAAAACAAAGGAATCTAATATTGCGTTTCGTTTTTTACTTTTGGAAGCTTATTGTCTTTCACATAACCGGAAAAGCCGAAAAATTTTGGTTTACTAATTTTAGCACGACTCCGGTTTTACTTGGCCTATTAACATAATTTAAAAACTGGTGTGTAGTTTATAATGTGCACTTTAAGCACAAGTTGAAAGTGAGACTGGGGGAGGCTGAGTCTTCCTGCTACGCCATCACAAACCAGACATGTTAAAAAGATGCTACAAGCCTATGGACCCCTATAGTTTAACATATCGATACTCGTGGATGAGAAATCGATACCTTCAGAGGGTGGATAATATCGATACATATCGTAGAATCAATATACAGCCCTACTTCAAGGGTTCTTTTCACTTTTCATTGGATACATTATTAATAAGCAGCTTAGATAATCATGCATTTTGATGCAAACTGACACATTATTACTGAGGCACACTACCTGTTTGTTTAGCCGAGCTGTCCTGAGAGCTCCCAGGGGGTTCCTTCTGATCATCCCCAGCATCTGAAGGTTCCCCACAGTAACACTCATCTGACTGCATTCCAACATCAGCTCTAAAAAACAGGAATCTGTTGGTCTCCAAGTCAGCTGCACAGCTCCTGCTTTGCTCTATTATGCAGTTTTCTCTGAGCAGATTACTCATAATATCAACTTTATTTTCTTCCTCTCGGCTCCCAGCTCCAGTTTCCCCTTCACTTTGTTCTTCTGACTGTATCAGAGTGTCACTCTCCACTTCATCACTAGTGTTCGAGTTACACATTTGAGGCTCAGTAGTCCAGCCCAGTGATGTCCAATATGAAAATCGCTCCCAATACAAGTAGTAAGTCTCTGCAGCCAGTTGGTCCCAGAGAGCTTTTGTGTCTGGATTATTCCAGGGAGCAGTGACGGCTCCAAGACGGTCTCCAGATGGAGCACTGGTGTCTGGATGCTTTTCCAGCCAGGAGTTCCACAGCAGGTTCTGTCCATTCTGAACTTTATGGTGTAAAAAACAAGAAAACGACAATGAAAAATAGATTTTTAGGTCCTACTGCATAGTTCCAGTTGAGCTGCCTCTAAGGTCTTTTCTTATATTTTAACTATGCTAAAACTCTAAAAGGTATTTTAATTCATTCTATAACTGAAATAAGTTCAGCAGTCATCACATGTAATTTTTCATAAATGATACATTGTCAACATCGCAACCTTTAAAACCCTTGTTTTGTGCTTCAGCAGTAAATAGTGGTTATATTCTGCTGCCTAATGCGTCTATGTGAAAACAGGCATATTAATAGGGATATTTCAAAAGCCTTTAGGCTAAAAATTATTTTATTTAGGATCTTTTCCTTTACATTATTCTGTTTGTAATGAGCTAATTAGTAATTGACATCAAGGCGTTGTGTTTTGATTTGTAAGAGTGGAAATACTATTTAAGGAGTTGTTTTTGCGAAAGGATTTTGGCGCCTCACTAGGTCAAACTGACCTGACTCCTTTCCTTCCATTTGCGTGCAAAGCGCAAATGGAACCAAAAATGACTTGGAAAAGAAGGCTGTTTGGACAGATAAGAACAATTTGCGACAAATTGGCCTATTCAGCAATTCTGAAAAGGAACAGATGTTGAGTTCATGAGGTCTCAAATATTTTAAAGTTCGTCCAACACACACTTAGTATGAGGCCTGCCAGAATCTTTACGCAAATCAAGGGTAGCAACGCCATTGGTCGAGACGTTCCAACTCACATCAGTGAAGATGAGAGTGCATAAAAAAGGGTGATGTTAAGAATATGGAGAGATTTTTTGTTGAGACTTTGGAAGATTTTTGAGTATTGAACTGATGAAAATATAACGAGGAATCCGTGGCAGAGGGTAATAAATCTCCGAAGCTCGTCTGTGGCCTAGCACCAAGAATTACGTCTCCGTGCGTTATTTCTTTTACTTGTATATTTAAGAGTATAGTCACCTTTCAATTCTCCAATAGATTCATGCCATTATGCTAAATTAGTGTGTTGTGTTAATGAAGAACACAATCTAGTAGGTTTAGCTTCAACATACACATTACATTTACTTCTTCCATTTCCAAAAAGAGGTACAAGTACAAACATTTTTATTTCTACCCCATTATAAACTCAGATAATTAATAAGGAATTTACAACATCAAAATAAAATCTAGTTTTGATATTGCAAAACAGAAAATAGAAACAAGAGTTTACTTATTACAAAACAGAAGCAACAAAAAAAGCAATACATTTGATTTCAACTCTAACTCGCTTTTCAACTCTTTAAAGCTACACTATGTATCTGTTTTTAGGAGTTTTTTAAAACTAATTATTTTATGGTTTGAGGCAGATAATGTGTGAAAAAACTCTATTTCATCCCAGAGCTCCTGCTGCTACCTGCAGAAATGCACCAACAAGAAACAACCAATCAGAGCCAGGAGAAGGGTCTTAGCACTATCAAACATGCTTGTGTACGCGCTGCTTAATGTGCCAACTCTGTAACAGTAAGTGTCAATAATGCCATGCCCCGCTGAAAAGAACTAGCAGTGGTGGAGAAAGTATACAAGCAATGTATTATGGTAAATAAAAGTACAAATAAACAGACATAATGCACTCTAGTGAAAGTAAAAGTATCACATTAACATTTTAATACTGGCTTTTAAAAATACTTAATGTATTAATGTCATTAAGTGTACCTAATGACATTAAGTACACTTATGGGTAACACTTTATTTGAAGGGGGTTGAATAAAACTGACATGACACTTTCATAAACATGAAAGCATGTCATGAAC